TCACGCAATTCAAGACCTCGACTTCTAATCGAGAACAATTTATTTTTTAAGAACGACTTAGACTCACACCGCCAAAACAAGTTTTACGAATATCGCCTGAAGATACACCAAGAACCAGTTTCTTAAAGAACAAACAACTTAAGATGTTAAGACTCGCCTAACAAACACAAAGTGTCACGAATCTATATAGCGGGTTGGGAAGAAGACTCAGTCCTGTATTCAGCAACCAGATATAAAGTATCGTTATCCTTTTTTTTTAACACATTTGAACTTTTCGAGTTATTATTTTATTTTATTTTACATATACTTGTGCGGTATTACCCTTGGCCGGACTCAGTTTGCATTACGGCCGGGCGACTGATTGATTTCGTCTACCTAAGATCAAATCACAACGTGGGTAAGTTAGACTAGAAATCAAAACAGTTACTTCGGTAACGAGACGTTGGAGGCGAGCTGGGAACGACAAGGCTGATACCGAATCTAACCAGATTCCCATCCGAATCAGCAAAAGGTTAGAACGTCACATGACGCGACCAATACCAAGTCACATTGGTCGTCACGGGACAGGATAGGACGGCAACGGCGCGGTGACAGACGGGGTGACGTCTCAACTGGCGCCGCGACCGGGACAGCACGGCGGGCGCGGCCAGGCAGCCGTCACTATTGGCGCAGCGACGCTGGGGGACGTCACATAAGTGTCCGGTTATCTTTAGCGTTTCCATTAACTTCTTATTTGCTTATGCACACCTTGTATAGTCTTTTCATAATTCTTCTCTAGAACCACATTTCAGCTGCCTCCAGTCTTCCATTCATCCTTGAGAGCATTGCCTATCATTCACTGTCATACAGGACGACAAATATTATATACCATTTCAGCACAAAACCTTTAGTTAATTCCAGATTCTGTTGAGCTATCACACTGTAAATTTGCGTCGCACCAGAAGGTACTTCTCACCGGAGTCCATCCTTCATATCTACAAATCAACCATTCGTTCCTGCATGCAATACTGCTGCCATATATGGTCTGGTGCCCCCGCTATTAATCTCGAGGTCCTAGACAAAATCCAGAGACGGATATGCAACGTGGTTAGTCCTGATTGGGCATCCCATCTGTAGTCGCTATCTCACAGACGTGCTGTAGGTTCAAGTACTTTCATGGCAACTGCTCCGACTAGCTACTTTCACTGGTTCCCAAATTGCATGAATTTAAGCGCGCTACTAGGTTGGCATCTCGGCCCCACCCTTTCACTGTCGAAACGACTAAATATAGCCGTTTCTTCTACTCCAACATTTTCTTATCTCGCACCTCCCGTCAGTGGAACTTCTTTCGTAACACTTGGTTCCCTGATAGCTATAATTTTCAAATATTCAAATGTAACGTGAATCGACATCTTCTGATGCCTTGACCTTGATTCCTGCCCTTCTCTTTATCCTTTTCTCAAACACTCCTCTTTACTCTTACTCTCACTCTCTGTAACCCCTTGAATGCTAGTAGCACTCCTGCCTTGCTTGGAGTGATTTGCTTAAAAAAATTAAAAAAACAAAAAACGAAAATCTTATACTATGACCCGTCGTAATTTTAGACATCATAGATTCTATTTCCTATTATTTCTGAATTGTCATACATTAAGAGTGGAGTGTATTTTCATTGTCTTCGTCATGGTTTAGAATTCAGATAGTCGTTTTTAGTATGATATTCAAGGGTAGACAGCGCAGAATATGCTATTATTTACCTAATACATCGAGAGTTAGAAAAGATGGATTCATGATATTACCGACGTGAACCAGTCCGATGGTAATTAACTCAGGATTTTTAATTTTCATAATCAATACCAGATTTTCCGCTAAATGATTCAGTTAAACATTTTGTTTCTGCTCTCTTTGTTTTTGATTGGCTATTCATCCACTAAAACCTGTTTATTTGGCTACTCAATGTTCCTGTCGTGAATGTTAAATTCACCAAGCCTCCTTTTCTCATTATGTGTCAAAAATTACAGCTGTCAATTTCTGGTGATTGTTACAACTCTCTTTAAAGTTCTTATTCTCTTTACAACTTCCTCTATAAACACGAGTTCTGGCGACGTCGTTCTCAGCTATCGCCGGTCAAATCACATCTCTGTAGCTTCAAGTCTTTTCTTCATCTACTAAAGTATTACACTGCATTCTCTGTCATATTATTTATTATATCCTAGTTCGGTAGTCGTTTCCATTGTACCTCTCCATTGATACCTTGCTTGATTTCTGTAAGGCATCTTTGAGTAATCCTATGCGCTCTCACGTTGTTGCTGCATATTTTCTTTTTCTGTCACAATACTACAAATATGCCATACATACTGAGGTATTTTTTTATTATTTTTAAGCAAAATGCATACCGTGCACACTCAAGTAATTTTTTTAAAATTATTTTTATGTAAAATGCCTACCGTACATATTCAAGTATTTTTATTATATTTAAGCAAAATACGTACTGTGCATACTCAAGTATTTTTTATTATATTTAAGCAAAATGCATACCATATATACTCAAGTATTTTTATTATATTTAAGCAAAATGCATACCGTATATACTCAAGTATTTTTATTATATTTAAGCAAAATGCATACCGTATATACTCAAGTATTTTTTGTATTATTTTTAAGCAAAATGCATAGCGTGCATACTCAAGTAATTTTTTATTATATTTAAGCAAAATGCATACTGCGAATGCTCAAGTATTTTTATCATATTTAAGCAAAATGTCTGCCGTACATATTCAAGTATTTTTTATTATTTTTTAAGCAAAATGCATTTGAAACAAGTCATACATTTTCGGTGACTGATTATACTATACTTAGGTCTTTTATTCTGGAGGGGTTAAAATGTATGCAAAAGAATTCACGAAGTCGATTTATACATGCGTATATACCGAAGCTAAAGTAATTGAGTTAATTATTGTTGTCATACACAAAAATTAAGTCTTCGGTTTTGGCTATCTCTTTTGCTAACAACCATCCATTCTTGCCTTTTACAATTGTTTGTTCATTCTTTCGTTTTACTTCATTGCCTTAAGTAAATAAAGGGCTATACTATTTCCCTCCATAAATTGAAGAAGCTTTCCAATCAGCACTGCATTGCCTGCTTGCCATTATAAGATTAAGTTTGTCTAAACGTAATATGCAACGCGGATATTAGGATTAAAAAATATCTTCCGCGGGTAATGTAATATCATTTCTCAGTTGTGTCTTCCTCCATGGATAGAGGCGTAGCTGGGGAAAAATACTGAGAGGGGCAGGTCCTGGGGAACGGCTGCCCGCGACACTCCCATTTAATTGCACTAAAGAGTGGGGTCGTTAAATATATACATTCCGGCGGAAACGACTGTTGCGGCAGCTGGGTAAATTTTGTGCCTGATCCTGTGGTACGCGCTCGGGTGCCCAGCATTAAATCCTAGTTTGTATTACATCACGTCTCTGTGGAAAGATGGGTAAATACATACCTGTCTATTAGGAGTTATGTATATAGCATAATACTATCTACTGGAGGCGTCTCCTGAACAGATGTAGGAAGTTAGAACGTTCAAATTCTAGAGCGGGTTTCGAATCTCAGCAGGATCGATTTGTCAAGGAAATGATATCTTGTTAGTATCGTCCTGGATAGACTTTGTCACATGTGGGGCCATTGGAAATTGCGTGAAAAACATAATTTAATTTAGCGCAGGAATGCTGAGTGAAATCCTCAAAAATTGACCGTTCGGAAGTTAGTAATGGTTTTTCTAATACGAAGTCAAGAGTCAGCGTATCCGAGTGTTTGAGTCTACGAATTTGTTCAAAATGGTGATAAATCCATAAGCTATTCCGCTAGAAACTGTAAATATTTTCTGGTCAGCATAATTACAATATACAACAGATATTAGCGGAATTAAAATCAAATGTACCTGAGAGGCAGTCTACAACTGAGATTAGCTAACTACGCTAGCAAATGTGAATACTCGGATACGAGCGACCAGCAATAAACATAATGTTGAATATGTTTCAGGGATTCATCGAAATGAAAGGGTAGAATATTTTTCCTCGAAAGTTCATTGCGATCGATAATTTATGGCTAATTTCCCCTTTGCTTGAAATACGAATTTCATATCAGATTCTAGCACGGATGACAGGAAAGATGAAAGAAGATAAAGGATTTTTCAAAGTAAATTACTTTGCTTAGAAAGCTTTCTTTGTTTTAAACTCTCAATCTCAAATGCGATCGGATCAGGCTATTACCGGTGGTCAAAATTCCGATATCCTCCATTTTAGGCTCACACCCCGATGAGATATATTAGGAATTCTGAAAATAAAGGGAGACAATCAGAAAAACGATTGGGAGAAAATAAAAGAAATATGGCGTAGGAAGATAATTAATTACCTAAGAAAGAAAGAAAGAAAGAAAGAAAGAAAGAAAGAAAGAAAGAAAGAAAGAAAGTGATATGTCCCGGTATGGGATATATTTGATCAAAGTAGGTAAGTGGGTTTGGTTAGTGGAACCAAGAAGTACACGGTAGCAATAATAGATTGGTACTCGTCGTAGTCGCATGTAATAAGTGTAGACCAGTAGAATAGCCAATACCGTAGTCCAATGGGCGTAGTCATAGACTGAAACTCTGTCGTACCTACACGTCCGTCTGTATTTATGACGGACACCAACCAATCATATTCCAGTGAGGTGTATGTATATTCCATTATATAAGAAAGAAAGAAAGAACTTGAGGCAATAAATGAATAATGATTCCATAAAAATGAATGAATCTGAAAAAAAATGAATGAATAAGTGTTTATTCTCTCGAACTTCTCACTTGTTAAATTCTCTTCCAGCTTCTTACTTCCCAGTCAACTTTCTTAAAAAAAAAAACTTAAATGCAATGTCAAGCGTTATCTTCTCACTTCATGATTTTTATTCCTTTATTGTTCTCCCTTTTTAACAGTGATTTTTGTTTCGCATATTCTCTAACCATCAGTAACCCTCTTCAGCCTTAGTGGATTTATTGCCTTGCTTGTAGAGAAATAATGAAAAAAGACTGAAATAAAGAATCTGGGAGAAAGAATGAATGCAATGACGAATCAGGGAGAAATAAATAAAATAAGAAAGGAATACTGGGGAAAGAGACTGAATGAAAGAAGGAATGAGGGAGAAATAAATAAAGAAGGAATGAAAGAAGGAACATGAAAGAAAAATAAACAAAGAAAGAATAATGAAAGGAATATGAAAAATTAATGAATTTTGAATGAATATTAAAGAAAAATAAAGAAAGAATGAAGAAGAAATATGATAAAAAAGAAAGAGAAATGAAAGAAAGAAGTCCTCTTAAGAGTTGGTTGGATTTCAGTTTTCCGTTTCCTAGAATATGTGTCTAGAGTCTTCAGTTCTGTTTAGCAAGCGAGTTCCGTATGATCTGCTTCTTATACTCGAGCTTAAGGAAAATGAATACATGCTTTTTCAAAGAGAATTAGCGCGAAAAGAGTGATAGTGAATCGACCAGAATTTGAATTCTGTACACGGATAACACTTTCCACGCAGATTAAAATTACTTTACGCATATGTAGACTTCTAGAGTGTAAAAAATAGACATAGATTTCGATAACCTAATAGGTATTAGGATATGCGTTTAGGTGTAATGGATATAGACTCGGAAAGGGAAAGCTGAGATCCGAGTTCTAATTCCAGTTGAGTTCGTTATATTCAAATATTATGTTTATGAGGTATGATCAAAATGTCACGGGACTGTTGCTATGGTAACACAGTGCGAAGCCGATTTGGCACACACTGACCTTGAATTGTTTTTCACATACACACTGAATTTTAACATTCTCGCTCACTTACAGCAGTGCTTGGAAGGAATGTGTGTAGAGTGTGGTCGTCTTACCACACTACAGAAGTTCTACAAATACCCTTGAGAAAGTAAGAATCCATCTATTTTCCCCAGTTATGGGGTGATCATCAAGACAGATTGGGTTCTTTAGCCTTGTTTGGCAACCAATCTATTGCACAAAGAAATGTCAAGCTACTACTAAATCTACCTAGTCAGACATGAACGCTCGTGTATCAAGTATGACATTTAACTGGTTGAATAGCTATTGACAACGAAACAACCACTTCAACAACAAAGTCAGATTGACTGTAAGTAGCCTTCTTCAACTGGGCGATTTCTATTCTAGTTGGTCTGATAAAACTAAGTTTAACAAAGAAAACATTTACTACAGTACAAAGTTGTATCATCAAGGGAAATGCGTTAGAACGAAGATTAGAAATTCCATTGAGGCATCTTTTCCCAAGACTCCCTCCTTTGTGAAATAAACTCCCATGATATTTCCCGATCACTACGATCTTTTATCTAAACCGTTATCTATTCTGCATATACTTATAATATACAAATGTCACTTCCATTAAGCAACCCAATTCGCTAACGCTCTACATTTAGTGTCTCTTGGGACTTGAATTGCGTGAACAATAGCATGAAAAAGATATTCACAATTTGCTTCGGGAGGTGAATAGTGACGCATATAAATAAGTTCATAAGACTCTGAATTAATGAGGAAAATATAAATTTTTAAATCGATTTACACGAATCAAGGTGACAATGCCACTAAGACGCAAAGGGCTACTGTTAGTATTAAAATAACAACTAGACAAGATACCCCGAGACTTGGGCCGTGAAATTATTACAACCGACTCCCATAGATCAAATAAAAGGCTCAGCTTCAAATTGCCTGAGGAAGGTCGGCGGGAATAATGGTCGAAACGTTGTGATAAAAACAACAAGGATATGGACATTAATCCCGATATAATATAATGCAAATAAATAATCTACTAAGAAGACATATATATTTTCCGTCTATGTATCGTTCGGTTCCATTAAATTGTTTATGAAATTAGATTAATTCACGATAATGCTGAAGAATTTTCTATACGAAATATTTTCCAATTTCTCAAAAAAAACATTAACAATTTTAAAAGCATTGTTCGCTAGACAGAGACACTTTGTAGGGAATCTTTTTCACATAAAATCAATATTCCATATCGATTCGTATTTAGAATGTAATATTATTAAATTTGAATCCTGAGATGATAACGCACTGTGAAAGTATACCGTCTTCTTCCGTGGACAGATAAACTCTTTGTCGCTGGCGTTCGAGTTTGAGTCTGGAAGACAATGCACATAGCGCTAGCAAATCTTTCTTCAAACTGTTGGATTCTTTTGGGGTTATAGTCATTGATCATCTTCAGATATTTATGCTAGTCATGTTCACTGGACATGAAGTTTCATGCAACAACCTCCCACTGAGCGCGGTTGATACAAATATGCTACTAGGAATTCCGCTGGCGAATGTTCCCGCCAGATTTAAACTCCCTTGAGAATGCATGGATCATGTTGCAATCCTACAGCCCGATTAACAAAAAAACGAACACAACTCATTTAGCGGCAGAACTTTAATATGCTTGGATAGATACGACCACGCATTTATTCCATTACATTGCAGATGTAATATGGTGTATCTACCGGGAGATAAATTGCACTTAATTAAGCAGCTCCTAGCAGTAATTTTTGATGTTTTCCTCGAGTTTACTGTCGACCGATTATAACAATCTATGTTGCGGGAATTCCATTTGTAAATGTCTAAATTATCAACTATATACAGCAGTTTTCCCAGATCGAAGAATAAAAGTGGCTTCAAGCGAATGAACTCTCATGGTTTTCGGAAAGACAACAATTCAGAAGATATTAGAAACTACCGCTACACTATCACAAATGATTTCTCCAAATAGCAAAGACACATTAATTGTAGTTTTCCAACAGCATTTAAAACTAAAACAGACAGATGTAATGGTAGTGAAATAAGTTTATAGCCGAAATAAAGAATCTTAAACAAAAGGTTTAGTATGGTTTATGTTTTACGGCATAACAAATTCCATGGGTTATTTAATGACAAGATTTTTGTTGCTGCTAATATCATGTTTTTATTTTCAAAAATGTAATCCTAGAATTTTTTTTCTTCAAAATGTATTGCTGTTATTTTTTTCAAAAATCTATTGCTGGTAATATATTTTCTTCAAAAATTTATTGCTGGTAATAATCATTTACAAAAAAGTATTGCTGGTATTAAGATTTATTTTTACACTTTCATAGTGATTTGACTCCAGTTTGTGGGTTAACTATATTCCCATAGATGGAACCCTAACACGTATTACTCCTCCGGTTCAGGGTGGGCCTGGGAACCCCAGCATTAAGAGGTGGTTCCACGCTTCTCAAAATCTTCTGATCAAAAGCCTTGCTGTCGGATGTATTTTATCGTCATACCCAGGACGCGGATGTAGTTTATCGTCTTATCCAGGAGGCGGATGTAGTTTATCGTCATACACAGGACGTAGATGTAGTTTACCCTCTCACCCAGGACGCGGATGTATTTTATCGTCATACCCAGGACGCGGATGTAGTTTATCGTCATACACAGGACGCGGATGTAGTTTATCCTCTCACACAGGACGCAGATGTATTTTATCGTCATACCCAGGAGGCGGATGTAGTTTATCGTCATACACAGGACGCGGATGTATTTTATCCTCTCACCCAGGACGCGGATGTATTTTATCGTCATACCCAGGACACCGATGTAGTTTATCGTCTTATCCAGGAGGCGGATGTAGTTTATCGTCATACACAGGACGCGGATGTATTTTATTGTCATACCCAGGACGCGGATGTAGCTTATCGTCTTACCCAGGACGCGGATGTAGTTTATCGTCATACTCGGAACGGTTAAACAAAAGTTTAGTGAAGAAACTATCATCATTATTAGAAAGTGACTTGGGAGATAGAGAACTTAAGAAGTGTCTTTACCTGACAAGTTTGTTTTTTTTTTTTTTTAAAGAAAGAGTTTTATAAATGTTAAACAATTGTAATACCGTATACTAGGGGTGATAAAAAAATATCGAGACTGGTCCTATAAAACGAAAACCCACAACGCATGAATTTTGGCATTTAATCTCCTTCGAAGTAGTCCGCTTCTCCAGGCAAACAATTTATCCCGCGTCATTTCTATTGATGGGAGCATTCATAGAAATCTTTTTTGGGAATAGCGAGCAGCTGTTTCGTCGCATTCTCTTAGATTTCCTCGACGTCTTGAAATCGTGTTCCTTTCGGGTGAGATTTGTCTTTTGAAAAGAAAAAAAAAGTAACGAGGGGCAAGATCTTAAGAATAAAATGTTTGGGAAAACTTGACCAAAAACTGGGAATCTATTTCGTGAGGTCAGACGACCACACTCTACACACATTCCTTCCAAGAACTGCTGTAAACTACTGAAGTCGGTGAGAACGTTATAACTTAATGTGTATCTGCGACACAATTCAAGGACAGTCTGTATTAAACCGGCTTCATTCTGCATACTTTGGCTTCTGTTAACATAGGAACAGTCCCGAGATTTTCTTCATTAGACTACATATACATAGCATTCAAGATTTATCTCGTGTATTTATAAAACAATTTTATATATTTATTAACTAAATAAATAAATTGTAAAATGGCAAGATAGCGTCATATGTAATTATATTTATTAGTTTATTATAGCTCGTTACATATGACGTTATCTTTAAATTTTATAATTTATTTATTTGGTCAATAAATCTATAAAATGATTTTATTTTTACGATGAATGAATATTATTATTCTTTTTGTTTGTTTTTCTTCCGTTGTTTGTATTTCCTAGTCTCTTCCATTTATCACTTCGTCTCCGTTCTTTCTTTTCCTCTCCCTTTGATTTTACTGTCTGTCTTTCATTCTCCCTTTGTAAAGTATCCTTCTGTCTGATTCCTCTATCGATATTTTCTCGTTCTCTTCGTTCTTATCCGCGATAAGAAGTTAAGCAAAGTCGAGACTTGTCAGTATCTGGATGGGTGACCGCTGATGAATCCTAGGTGGTGTAAGCTTGGATTTGTAGGCGGTTTAATGGATAATGGCTTGGAATTGTTAATCGGAGAGCCGAGTTCTAATTGCCGTTGGGTTTATTATATTCACTTACGCGCAAATACCGTTAAGGAAAGGTCAAATTTAACCTCTTTTCAGCTAAGATTTAATTAGTAAAACTTGTACCAATAAACAGTTATTATCGAAATAAAAAACTAACTAAAATGTAAAAATAATTACTATACTAGCTTTAAATACCCACCAAAGTGTTGTTAAGCCGTAGATAGCGAATCAAACTTCCTTCTTATCGTATATGTTTGATACGTTTTTTAATTATGGCATTATCAATATCCTTTTAATTATTGGTGCCTTTATTTGCTATTCCCATTCTTGTTTCATTTTCCGTCCTTTTTCTTTGATTTATCGGCTTTTCTTCCAGTCAAATGTTCGCTGTCTTCGGTCTTTTCGTTTTTCTTTACACTTACTACGACAATCTCATTTTTCTGTCTTATTCTTATCGTCTTTCTTCGCTCTTACTTGTGAAATTTAATAGAATGTCTTGACGTCTTTATTTACTGTTACAAGTTCAGTCTTTTTTTTCTCACCTCCTCAATATCTGTTATCTTTTTTTCTTTCTTTTCCCTGCCGTTTCTTCTTCAATATCTGTCTATATTTCTGAGATGATGCATTGTAATTATTTACATTTTTGGACAGATCCCATCATCTTTCTTGTCATATTCACGATGTTTCCTCCGTCGTACGCTTCGACCTTCTTCAGGTTATTGGAATTTTGTGCTGAACCCTTTATGTTGTCCATGGGTTACATTGTTTTAGTTCCACGTGTCATGGCTCTTCCGGATGCTTCAGTTATTTAACTCAGCTCTCCAAGTTTTTGTACACTACAGCAGTAGCCATGTATTGAACTCACTACTCAGTGGGTCAAGTCGCTGGATCCAACCAACGCTTTAATCCACTGGGCCATGTCTCCTTGACACAATCTAGCCAGATGGACGAAATAAAGTGTTCAGTTCGAAATTCCAATCTCCTGAAGAAGACCGGAGCGTACAACTGCCGAAACGTCGTGAATATGTCAATAAAGAGTAGGACAACAGTCTGAACAATGTAAATAATGTAAATAAACTTGTCTAAATGGATGAAAAGATAGTAAATTGCAGGTAGAGTCAAGAGACAACCGCTATTTAAACATTTGCAGCTCAAAACATAGGAAGTTTTAGTGGGCCATGATCGTCCACATCTTTAAAGGACATAGAACATAAAACAAGAGAGAATATCTCCTGTAATAAATGATTTGCTAAGATCCAAAATGATAATGAATATAATAATATATGCACAACCACATACTGTAGAATTGTTTGTTTGTTTCTTTCTTTATTTATTTATTTTCTTTCTTTTTTCTTTCTGTCCTTTCTTTCTGTCAACTAATTCGCTATATATTGAGCTATATATCGATTTGTTTATATGTTTGTCTGTCTAGCTATATATCCCGTTCTTGGTATGAAAATAAATTACATCTGCGACCTGGGTAAGACGATAAACTATGTCCAGCAGCAAGGCCTCTGATCAGAAGGTTTTGAAGAGCGTGAACCCGCCTCTTAATTGCTGCTGTTCCCAGGTCTACCCTGACACGGGGTGATAGCACCTGTTAGGGTCCCAGGTATGGGCAAATTGTTGACCGCCACAACCTTACTCAAATCACTATAAAAGTGTAAAGAATAGATTTTATTACCAGAAATACTTATTACCAGCAATAAATATTTGAAAAATGAAAATATTACCAGAAATAAAAATCTTGTCAGCATTAAACAACCCATTGAGGTTAATATGCTACTAAACAAAACGAACCAATCTATATATTGTTTTTAAAATGTTACCAGCTATACATTTATGAAAACAAAGGAAATTTTGTCGGCATTAAATAACCCATTTTGGTTGATATGCCGTAAAACAAACCAAACCAAACCAAACCAAACCAAAACTTGCTATATATCTGTGATTCATGTGAACGCATAAATTTATAAATATCCACGCACTTAGAGAAATACTTTTTTAGATATGTCTATATTTCTAAGATTGCTATATTCACGAAGTTTCGGTCGTCGTAGGCTCCTGACTTCTTCAGGAGATACGAAATGTGAACTGAACCTTTTAATTCGTCCACCGGTGAAGATTGCTCTAGATAACTGATACTGAAACATTCGAAACAGGCCTTGCACGTAGAAATAGATTAATGTATCGCGGCGGACAAAATAATGGGTTCAATCACCTTAAGAAGGACGGAATGTACAACGGCC